TGCGTGTGTGTGTTTGTGTTTGTGTGTGTGTATGTATCTGTATGTGTATGTAGTTATGCATATATATATATATATTTATCTATCTATATATATGTGTGTGGGTATGTGTGTGTGTGTGTTGGTCTGTGCTTGTCTGTGTTTGTCTGCATTTATACATACATGAATGTAACTAATTTTATATATGAGTATATAGATTAAATACATGAATATATATATATATATGTATATATATATATATATGTGGGTGTGGGTGTTTGTCTATGTCTGTACGTATCTGTGTTTAATTGTATATATATATAAAATTGTATATTTATAAATTTATGTATATTTAAATATCTATTATATATATATATATATATGTGTGTGTGTGTTTTAGTATCTGTGTGACTGTATATGTTAAGACTTATATTTCTATTTATATTTGTGTATTAAAATAGTAATATATATATATTTATATATATATATATATGTGTGTGTGTGTGTATGTATATATATATGATATATATATATATTTATATATATATATATATATATATGTATGTGTAAGCGAAATACAAATAAATTTGTATGTAGTCCTCGATATACATATGATGTATATGATCAAAGTATTATGTTCCTTTACACGAATGTCTTTATAAGCCTATATGATGCATGTGTATGTATATAAGTGCGTAAAGGATATTGTATGAGAGTATTCATGTATATATATATATGTGTGAATGCTATACAATGATATTGTTTCTGTGGCAATTTTGCTTGTGCGTCCTTGTGGATTCGTGCAACCACTTCACCTCTTTTTTGTCGCAGTTGAGTGTAGGGTAGCAAGTTTTGATACTTGCTCTGAGGCTATTGTGTACCTTCCACTGCCCATGCCTACTTAACAATACAAGGACAATTCATTACGTACGTTGTCTCGAGTAACAGTGCCACATAAGGTGTGTTGTGCTAACGCAAGCAGTGGTGAGTGCTCACATGATATTCTCACAGTCGAACACGCGTTTTATCAACACACTCTGCCTCGTCGCGTACAAGTTGTGTGTGTAGTGAACAGTCGTAAAATGACATGGCATTCATCCGAAGTAGTTCACATATGTACAACGAATATACGAATTGTTGTTTTTGCGCGCTGGCGATGCATTTTTCGCGATCAGAGTCAGATATATAGCATGCCTGTTATAAACGTGTGCTTGCACGGACTATCGGGGTAACGTCTGATGTGTTTGATGATTTGTTCTACATTTTGTGTGAATACAGGAATCATATATAGCATGCCTGTTATAAACGTGCGCTTGTACGGACTTTCGGGGTAGCGTCTAAAGTGTTTGATGACTTGTTCTACATTATGTGTGGATACAGGAATCATATATTGCATGCCTGTTGTAAACGTGTACTTGTACGAACTGCCGGGGTAGCGTCTGAAGTGTGTGATGATGTCTTCTACATTATGTGTGGAGACAGAAATCATATATAACATGCCGGTTATAAACGTGTGCTTGTACGGACTATCGGGGTAGCGTCTAAGGTGTTTGATGCCCTTTGTTCTACATTATGTGTGGAT